AGTGAAGTCGGGGTCTGCTGAACCCATCTGGTCCATCTGCCAGCTGCTGCCCACAAACCCTGGCCTGGAGCTTCTTGGAGCACAGGTACTGGGGATTCCAGGGCCCCACCAGGCTCACCAAATCAGAAGTCCTGTGGGGCAGGGCCCATAGGTTTCCATTTTTCACAAGCCCTCCTCTCCTGCACCCTTAGCAGTGTATGATTAAGACCACACTTGGAAAACAGTCTCATAGCCTGCTCTTCCAGACTGCTCTGAACCAATAAGACAAAATCAGAGATTTCCCAGTGCTTAGTAGGTACACAGTCATACACAAGTAGGAAATGCAGCCTCTTCCCTTAAAGGGATTGTGATCTGATTGGGAGATAAAAGACACATTTTGTGAAGAGTTAAACTAATGCTACAATAAACAGTGGGCATTCCTTGTGGTTCGGTGGTAAAGAATCTGCCTGCAATGCAGGAGACTCGGGTTTAATCCCTGAGTTGGGAAGATCCCCTAGGAGAAGGGAATGGCAACCCACGCCAGTATTCTTGCCTGGAGAATCCCATGGACAGAGAGCCTGGCAGGCTATGGTCCATGGGGTTGCAAAGAGTCAGACATGACTGAGCTTCTAAGCGCACGCGCATACACACACACACACACACACAGAAATAATAATATCATTCAGTGAGCACCTACAAAATGCTAGATCCTGTGCTAAGCCCTTTATTTATATACGCTCATTTAATCCTCATTTAGTCTGTGGAAGGCAGGTCTGTTTTTGTTTTATTTATTTGGCTGCACTGGGTCTTAGTTGCAGCACCCGGGATCTTTGTTGCCGCGTGTAAGATTTTAGTTGCAGCATGCTGGATCTAGTTCCCTGACCAGTGATCAAACCCAAGCCCCCTGCATTCGAAGCTCAGAGTCTTAACCACTGGGTCACCAGGGAAGTCCCAGAAAATAGGTGTTTTTATCCCAAATTGTGTCAGGATGGCTGACACGGGATAGTCTAACGCACCAGACTCAAGCTTCTGCTTCCCACTTACTAATGGTTTATTTGCCAACTTCCCTCACACCAGCCTTCCCTGACCCTTAAGAGATGACAAGAGCGATGCCTCTGTTTTTCAAAATACCCTGATGTAACAGACTTTATCTCATTTATCACACCATGTTGCAACTGCCTGTTTCCTAGGCTAGGCCTCTCACAAGACTTGAGGACAGATACTTGGTAGTTCCAGGGTCTGGGCACAGTAGGTACTCAGATACTATTTTATGAATGATTAAAGATTCTGTCTGAAGTCTTGGTTAATATTGTGACTCTAAAGCCCAGGTTTCCCCATGAGCCATTACAAGCAGCTGGCCCACACCAGGCAGATTCCTGTAACTGATTATCTACAGGTTGGAGTAATCGAAGAAGGCTCCCTGGAGAAGGTGGAGTTGGGAGGACAATTCAAATTTGGAAAGACAGGTGAAAGGTGAGCAGTCATTTCAGGCAGGCCAAGGCACAAAGGTAAAAGGGCAAACTTCCCAGAGACCCCAGGGGATTTGAGGAGACTATATCCCATCCCCTAAACCTCTCTACCTTAACCATCTTACATCTAACCTACACCCCAAATACTGCTGTGGATTTACTTTCCTCCAAGCTTTCCAGGGAGATGACAAATGCTCTTATTGGCTTCCCACGCCTAGACCAGTGGATTTCTCCATTTGGAAAGTCCCTTTAAATAGTGAATGGAGTAGTTTTCAGTTTCCATGAAGATATAAGATCCATTAATATCTATGACATACTGCTAGGTAGGGGAAAAGGCAAGGGAAAACAGTGTCTTTAGATATCAGCAACTGGGCAATCAGGGGCTAACCCAATTCAGTCCCAATGTGGCAACACATATTAAGAGTTGTAAGAATGTTTCAGATCCCATAACTTTGTAATCCTTTAATGCAAGAAAATACATGTAAACAAGCTCACTGTGGCCTCTCATTTAAAGGGGTAACCTGGGAACCCCCTAAAATTCCAACAAACATTATGTAGCCATTTCTAACAATAAACACAGCAGCTTTGTGACTTCCCTGGTGGTTCAGCAACTAAGACTCTTCTCCCAATGCAGGGGGCCTGGGTTTGATCTCTGGTCAGTGAACTAGATCCCTCATGCCACAACTAAAGATTTCGAATGCTGCAACTAAGACCTGGCACAGCCAAATATATAAATATAAATGTAAAAATATATATAAATATAAATATATATATGGCAGTTTTACAGAAACATGGGATTATATTTACAAACCAATACTGAGCAAAGAAAAAGAGAATGGAATATTGCATTTACATGGTGACTATGGCTATTATATATCTGTTATAATTTGAGTCACTGAGAAAGAAAGCAAGGATGAGAGAGGAGAGAGAGGAGTGAAAGAGATAAGAGAAAGAAAAAGTAATGGGATTATGGAAGGTTTTTAGAAATGTCTTTACATGATGCTGAAAATTGTCTTGGTAGTAAATATGAACTATACATAGGGACTCTGTGACTTTGAGTGGGATACTTAACTTCTCTGAACCTTGGTTTCCTGGTTTCCTCCTTGACAAAATGGGGACAATAATGGTATTTACTTCATAGACTTGTTTGGAAGATTAAATGAGATAATCCATGTAGAACTCTCAGCATCATGCCCAATGGATGGTAAACACTCAGTAAGTGTTAGCTGTTACTGTCATTGTTATGTCATTAATGCATCTCCTGTGTCCTGCGTTGGCAGTTGGATTCTTTACCATTGAGCCACCTGGGAAGCCCTGTAAGAGCCATAGTCACCATGTAAATGCAATATCTTGTTCTCTTTTCTTTGCTCAGCACTGGTTTGTAAACACAGCCCCACGTTTCTATAAAGCCGGCATTAAATATGTATATACCTGGCTGTGCCAGGCCTTAGCTGCAGTGTTCAATATCCTCAGTTGTGCCATTTGGGGATAAGGGGAAATGGATCAATGAAGGAAAATTCTCATATGCTCTAGATAGGAGTGTAAACTATTCTAGTATAGATATAGTTTTAACTTACATGTAAGTTTATATATAACTTTAGGTACAAAATCTCTTTGTTCTAGGAATTGCATGTCTAGGAATTCACCCTTAGCAAATAATCTTAGTAAATAATCCGACATGTACACCAAGAGGAGTGAATGAGAATTTTATCTCAGAGTTATTTATAACAGAAAAAGATTGGGAACAACCTAAAGGCCCAGCAATAGTTACATAAACTGTGAAACATACATAGCATAGGATGTGGTATACCTTTATGTAATGATACAGACATGTACTTACATCATTACATAAAGAATAGATGACAGAACAATATAATCTTATTTACAGAAGAAAGTATAGGTATTCACTTAAAAGTCTGAGAAGACAGATACCAACCATTATCAAGGACATCTCTGCCAGAACTGTCACTTGCTCTGAATTACAAAATTTTAATATATATAATTTAGCATCAGAAAATCCAAAAGGGGGGGGGGAGACAGTGTGGGTATGTGTTGATTTTTTTTTTTTTTTTTAAATAAGACCCTTGGCTGAGGCAAGGAATTCTAAAATTGAAAATTGTAGATTTGCAGAATGTGGCAAAACTGGTTCCATCAGTTCAGAAACCACTCAGTCCCAGGTCTGGGGTTAGCAACTGTGGTGAATTCTGCTTTGCACATAAATGATGGGGATTCTAAGGGACTCCAGAAAAGGAGACAGATGCAAAACTTTCCTTAATAATAATAAACATGAGAGCCTTTGTAAGTGCTTCATACTTTGCATGGCCAATCTATTTGATCCAGAGAGCAGTCCCATGAGACAGGCAGGGCAGGAGCTATCATGAGGAGATGGAGTCCTTGAGTGTGAAGTGGTGCCAGAGTCAGAACAGAGACAAGGGGACTTCCCTGGTGGTCCAGTCGTTAAGAATCTGCCTTCCAAGGCAGGGGACACGGGTTTGATCCCTGGTCGGGGAACTAAGATCCCGCAAGCTGTGGGGCAACTAAACCTGTGTGCCACAACTAGAGACGCTGTGCCTTACAATGGAGATCCAGCACAACCACAAAAGAACAGGGACAGGAAGTTGGGGCTGGACTCCTGGCCCTCCCAGTTGCTCAGCTGGAACAGAGTGAAATTTGCACACTCCCAGCCCATGCCCAGCACATAACTGGTCTTTAGGGAAACTGGTACTGCCTCCTCTAATTGGCTCCCTGGTTAGTGGGCTACACTCCATGGGTGCAGATGATCACACCATCTACACGCATCTCATGTCTGTGCTTCTGCAAGTGTTCTTTGCTACAGACAAACTCATTGTTTCCCTTCTTGGTGGCCCTACCCACCTTCATCACATTGTTCCCCCAACTTACAATGTTATCTGCCTCTTCCAACCTTACCACTTCTCTAAACATCCAAATTCTTTCAAGACCTGTATTAAAGGCCACTTGCTATGCAAAACTGCACCAGCTAGCTGGACCCCATTGCTTCCTCCCCAGATCTGTGTGTCTCAGGACACATCCCATCCTGCTTACATGAGGATTCTCTGCAGGTGTGTTTTGTCGCTGGACCAGACTGGAAGCTCTTTGGGGAAGGGGGCATGTCTCACTGTTTCCTCAGTGCTGGCCCCACGCTGAGGTACCCGACGCACTCTGGTCAATGAATGCGGGGGTGACTGAGTAAAGGAGGGATGCTGGGAGCATGGATGGAGGGAGGACATGGATGGATGGATAGAGGAGGGCTGGGCAGAGATGGATGACCACTCAAACCCTGCAGCAGAGCCATCCCTAGCCTTGCCAATGGCAATGGGATTTCAGCCAGCAAGTCCCCAGGTGAATAACCTCAGGGTTTTTGCTCCTCCACGTCCTGCCCACATCATAAAATTGCAAGCGCTTCCTCTTCAGGGGTGGGAAGGAGAAGTGGGGTGACTTTGGGGCTGAGCCTCAGCATCCAGGAGGGTTTATAAGCTGAGGCACCAGGCCCCTCAGCACCACAGCCCTTCCTTCTCATCCTCTGCTCCTGAGGCTCCAGCTCTTCGGCAGCATGGCCTTCACCGGCAAGTATGAGATTGAGAGCGAGAAGAACTACGATGATTTCATGAAGCGCCTGGGTGAGTGAGCTCCTGAGAGCACCTTCCTGGGGCTGGGCTGTCACAGCCAGCTCTGCACAGGGAACCCAAAATCCATGAGACTCAGAGAAGCTGAGTGACTAGTGTAAGGTCACAAAGCTAGTAATGGGTGAGATGCAGAGTTGATTGGTTTATTCATTCAAACATCAGTTGAATGCTTGCTATATGCACGGGCCAACCTAATGTTACTGATGGGGCATTTCAGCAAGACCTGCCCAAGGTCACACATCAGTGCCAGAGGTCATGAGACCCCCCAGGAGCCAAGGATGAGATGACGAGTGATGTCACCACATCCTGCCTGGGGAGAGGTGACAAAGGGGTGGGAACATAGACACCAGGGTTGACAAGCTACTCGTTCACGCTATCATTCAGCAAACAAGGGCCTCTTACAGTGCTAGGCACCATGGGTGGAAATCAAACACCCCACTCTTCTGACTGATTTGTAACACTGGTTGAGAGGAACCAAAGAGGCAGTGGACTTGACGATCCTGCAGAAATCTTGGTGTGTCAGCCAAGTGTGAGGCAGTGCAGCTGTCTATATTCAGAGGACCGTAGGGGACCAGGGCCCGACCTGGGCCAGGTAGGAAAGGGGCCCCAAGAGCAGGGGCCTGGGGCCATGGGGAGGAAAGAGCCCTTCTGAGTCAAGCACTGGGACTGGCCCTGAAGGAACAGTGACCTAGCTTCACCTACAACAGTCTAGTTGCAGGAATCATATCTGTAAAACAGGAGCATTAGAAGATAGTCTTGCAGGTCTCATTCATTTTAGGACTTTGTGAACTTGGGAAATTTTGAGCATACTATTTTCTACTATACTACTTTCTAGTAGTATAGTAGTAAATTTCTAGTATAGTATAGAAGAGCAGCTATTATTGTCAACTCCATGCCAGGAGTTTTACCAGACACAATCACTGTCATTTAATCCCTGTAACAGTCCTGTGAAATGGGCCTTATTATCCCATTTGCAGATGAAAACACTGAGCCTTGGAGAGAGAGTAACTTGCCCAAACCACATGGCCCATCCAGAACTGGGGCTTGTGCTCTTGACTGTCAAACTAACCTGCCCTGGGTGAAGCAAGCGCGTGCCCAAAGCCACAGGTTGTAGGCAGCTCTTACACCGCCTCTCTGCTTGTTCCCGGGCCCAGGGCTCTCCAGTGACATGATTGAAAAGGGCCGCAATCTCAAGGTCGTCTCGGAGATACAGCAGGACGGGCAGAACTTCACCTGGTCCCAGCACTACCCCGGGGGCCACTCCATTTCCAACAGTTTCACCGTTGGCAAGGAGACCGAGATGGAGACCGTGGGGAACAAGAAGTTCAAGGTGAGAGACTGCTAGCTACCCCTCCCTCTGGCCCCAGGCCTCTGGCTGACTTCTTGGTCCCCACCATGTCCCCTGGGGCTGCTCCCCGAGCTGGGGCTTCTTCTCAAGTCTGTGTGTGTGCTAAGTCACTTCAGTCGTATCCAACTATTTTGTGACCCCATGGACTGTAGCCTGCCAGGCTCCTCTGTCCACGGGAATCTCCAGGCAAGAACACTGGAGTGGGTTGCAACGCCCTCCTCCAGGGGATCTTCCTGACCCAGGGATCAAATCCAGGTCTCCTGTGTCTCCTACATTGGCAGGTGGGTTCTTTACCACTAGCGCCATGGGGGATGCCCTTCTTCTCAAGTCTAGCCTACAGTGTTAAGAGCTTGAGTTACTTGGCAATTTAGCCACTCTTGGTTTTTAATGATACATCAATGATGGACACAATAATGATAAAAATTGTTTCCATCTGCCGAATCCTTCACACATATATCCCAGACACTAGCTGGATCTGTCACACATCTTAATGCAGGTAAGCCCGTGAGGTCACTATAACTACCACCCCACTTTACAGATGGGGGAGTTGGGCTGAGTCATGTGATTAAATAGCTGCCTGGATCCCACAGCAAGGCTGGGCATGCACACCCAGGCAGTCTGGCTTCTGAGAGCATAACCACATTTTTATGCTGCCTGTAGTGTGACCTAGAGATTAATCTTGCCCAGGCCCTAGAACCAGACTCATCTGGGTTTGAAACTGCAATCATGGGTAGCAAAGAAGTGAAAGTTGGCTGTTTATCCCCTTCCTACTCAGAATGGCCCCTCAGGTCTTCCACCCATCACAGGTCCCCTCTGTAGCCCCCAACCCTGACCAAGAAAGTACTCTGCTCCTCAGATTGCTGGGGGGGTCGAGGGGAGGATAAGCAGTCATAATATTGATATTCTGCCACTTGGGTATTTTAAAAATTTAACAACTTCTCACAGTATCTTTCAGTGTCAGCACATACTGACTTGCCTTATTCTTTTCTTAATGGTGGTATAGTGTCCAACAGTATAGAAATGCTAGTCACCATTCCCTCATTAATAGATATTTAGGCTATTTACCAGCAGATAATGTAAATTGAATATTTAGGTCGTTCACTGTTACAATGCTGCAATCAACACCTTCAGATGACATCAGCATCGTTTAATAACGATGATCATAACAGATTCTGTAGCTAACAAGGAGTGCTCAACAGGGAGCCAGGCACTGCTCTAAGCACATATATCATGTGTGACTGCTCAGTCATGTCTGACTCTTGTAGGGAATCTGCCCTAGAAGGATCGAACCCTCACCTTCTGTATTGGCAGGCAGGTTCTTTGCTTCTTCATTGAACCACCTGGGAAGCCCACATATATGATACTAAATCATTTAAACATCACAGTAACCCCATGGAGTAGGTACAAGTACTATCCCCATTACAGAGATGAGAAAACACAGCACAGGAAGGTCCAGTGACTTGCACAGGTTATATGTATCTTTGGATATATGTAATCACATGTCTAGGTTGTTGTGGTTCAGTTGCTCAGTCGTGTCCAACTCTTTGCGATCCCATGGACGGCAGCATCACATGTCTATAGGACAAATTAATTCCTAGAGGGGGACTGCTGGGCCTGGAGGCAGGTCCGTTCATCCCCGAGAGCTGGCCTGCATTTGTGGGGGCTCTGCAACTCAGGCTGCCTTTTGCTTCTCTTTCAGGTCTCCGTGAAGATGGAGGGTGGGAAGGTGGTTGTGGACTCCCCCCACTACCACCACACTGCAGAGATTGTGGATGGCAAGCTGGTGGAGGTAAGTGTCCTGCTGGTTCCCACATAATATACAGAATGTTCTGCCCTGAGAGGCGGGCCTCTGGGAAGCAGGTTTTACAGGTATGCCCTGTGGGCTGGGCTCTGTGCTGATCACTGGATGCACACGACTTCATCTGACCTTCACAATCCCCCTGTTAGATAAGGATTTTTATTCCCATCTTGCAGGTGAGGAGACTGAGGTATGAGGAGACGGGGTGACTAAGAGATTGGCCAGAGGGCACAGAGGTTTTTTGATAGAGCAGGAATTTGGTGTTAGGTGCCAGACTCCAGTGCCCGCACTCAGCCACCTCAGGGGCACAAGTCTGGACTTCCCTGAGTATAGATGAAGCAGAGAGTCCTGGTGGGCCCTGCAAGCACAGTTGCCACCCCCTCGCTTCCATGAGGGACTTCAGGCCCTTACTGCTGTATCTTCTGGTGTGTCAAGAGAAGCTGAATATTGGCACTTTTAAGTGAAATTTCCAGACTAGCCAATACTGGCAACTAATCAAAAGATTTTTTAAAAATGTTGGTGGGGCCAATTCACCCACCTGTGGACTGAGCCCTCCCACAGGCCATTTCCTCCTCCAGGGGATCACCCTGCCCCAGGGATTGAACCCTTGTCTCCTGCATCTCCTGCATTGGCAGGCGGGTTCTCAGTAAACACAGGTTGGGGGTGCTCCCTCTCCCAGCCAGCTCTTCCCCCGGGGGCTCCAGAGTTTCCCTGGGTGAAGGAAATGGATGTGAGGTGAAGAGAAAAAAGGAAGATGCTTCTACATGTCAGTCATTTCCCCCTCGTGAGCCTATGTCTTGGGCTAGAGTCCCCCCCAGGAGGGGTCTGGTCTGTCCTCCCCAAGCATCTCCAGGAAGAAGTGTTGAGGGAGGCAGGGTTTGCCACCCTTATTCCTATCTTGCAATCTCTTCCCTGTTTCCTTGTTTTCCTCACCCAAGTCCAGTCTAGAGAAAAGCAGCACATGGCTCAGGAGGCTCAATGCCCTCACATTACTCCCATTTTACAGAGAAGCCATGGAAGCTCAGAGACATAGGCAACTTGCCCAAGGCCACACAGCTAGTCTGTGGGGGAGGCAGATGAAATTGGCTGATTTCTAAACTGCCTGCTCTTCCCAGGCCATGGGTCTTCTTTCCCTCCCTTCATTTTAGTTTAAAAAAAATCTATAGTGTATTAAAATATGTCTGTGTACATGTACGTATACCCACATATGCATACATATATATGGCATAGGCTTCCCCAAAGGCTCAGCAGTAAAGAATCCTCCTGCCAGTGTAGCAGATGAGTGTTTGATCCCTGGGTTGGGAAGATCCCCTGGAGAAGGAAATGGCAAGCCACTCCAGTATTCTTGCCTGGAGAATCCCATGGACAGAGGAGCCTCCCGGGCTACAGTCCACGGAGTTGCAAAGAGTCAGACACGACTGAGCCTCTAAGCACAAGCATGAGCATTTTTTTCTGGATGGAAACTGACCTCTTGGAGAATCCGATGAAAGCTGGAGGACACTGACTCCCAGAGGCAAAGCTCCCCAGCCTGTGAGGGGGGCAGGGAGAACCCAGGGTGGAATGAAGCACATTTGTGCCCAACAGGAGAACTCATCTTCCCAAAAGAAACAAATCTGTTTCCTAATTCCTGGGGGCACCTGACCATGAAGCCTGTACAGTGTGAGCAGTGCCCAGAGTTCATGGCCATTACACGCACACACATGCACACAGGCACAGGAATGCACACACACGTGCATATGCACAGACTAGGTACCAGAGAGAAGCTGTCTTGGTTGCATATTTCCTCCCATCTTTGGAGGCCCAGAATCATTCTAGACATCTTTCTCCTTCTCCACCCATAGGGATGCATTTTTTGAGCATCCCTCTTCCCACTTCCACCCACCAACAGCACCCCTTCTCTCATCACTTCTCCTCTGGACAGAGCCCTGGCCTCCTCCTCCACTCCATCCTCCATCCACCCCATATGCAAATCACACATCACTTTACTGCTGCCCTTAGACAAAACTGCTCCACAAAATTCCATTTGCCACCTGTCCCCTCCCACAAGAAAGCAGCTCTCCTCTGCTGGGCATCAGGACCAACTGGTAGTACATGTATACCCCATGACAGCATGTCTTGGTCTTGAGCCCAGGGTACTGCACACAGCGGGTCTCTGCTGAACACCATCCTCTTTTCAGCCTCTTCCACAAAACCTTCTGCTTCCCAAGGGCAGAGATTGTGTCTCCCCATCACTGAGCACAGGGACCCCTTAAATGCTCAATGGTGTAGAGTGTGAACATGGCTTTCCTCCTTAGGGGGGTGACTGACTTCTCTAACCTTTAGTTTTCTCATCTGCACAATGGGGCAAGCTCACTGTTGGGGGAAATGTAACTGGCATGGGTGAAATGAAATGGATAGACGAGTGGAAGGTTATCCCAAGGAAAGTCACATCACGACAACATGTGAGCACTTGGGCCACGTAAAAGTGAACAGAGTGAGCCTTGCAACAAACTAGGAACCAGAGGCCCAGAGAAGTGTTGCCACAGGCTCACTCCCATCAGGGCGGGGACTAGAGGCCAGTCTACCTTCCCTGGGCCCCATGGTCACCTTGGCATCCTTGCACTGACTCCCTCTGCTCCCGCTGTTTCTTCCAGGTCTCCACGTTTGGAGGCGTGATCTATGAGCGCGTGAGCAAGAAGGTGGCCTAAGCTGGCCTGAGCTGGCGGGTAGGGCTCCTCGGGGGCCGTAAAGCCGTATCAATAAAGCTGATGTAACAAGACTATCTGCTCGTTCCAGAACCTCTCTTTGTTCTCTAGTGTCCTGGGGCAGTTCTGGCTGCTGGAGATGGGAAACCCCTGAGGATGGCTGTGCAGGCCACACCTTGGCCCCGAGGTCCCTGTGGGCCCCATGTCACCACAGAGACTTGGGGTGTGGACAGGTATGGGCGTAAGACCCCTGGCCCCAGAGAGAGGGCACAGGCAGTGCTCAAGGGGCATGGTGGGCACATCTCCCTGGTCCCTGCCCCTACCTGCCACCCACACTCAGGGTGGAGGGATCACTCTTTCAAGAGACAAATGTCCCCTGGGAGGGGTGACACTGACTCTCAGATGGGCCACAGGAAAGTGTATCAGAAGCAGGGGCAGGACTGGCGATTCCCTGGAAGGACTCGCCGCTGCTGGCGCCGAGGCTGCACAGACACTGGGATGGACGTACCAGCCAGGGGCAGGGCTTCAGCGTGACTGGGGCTCTCTGCCAATTCACTGTGGAGTCCTTCCTTCAGGCCTCAGTTTACCCACTGGTACCAGAGAGGGCCAGGAGGGCCAATGAGGGACTGAGGAGGAATGGGAGTCTATGAGATGACAAAGGGGTTATGGGTGTGCCAGGAAGGAACTGAAATGTCATGGATTACACTAGCGGGGCTTGGATGGGGGGCCCGGGAGAAACTTGGAGAGGCTGCAGTGGGATGGGAAAGGGGATCAGAAAGGTCACTCTGACCCTCGGGTAGCTGTCTGGACCCCTGCATTACGGAGGATTCCAGGGCCGCACCTGGACTGAGCAAATGTCCCTGCCTGATCACGGTGTCTGTTTGGGGCATGGGAGAGGAGGAGGGAGGTCTGCCTGTTCCCTGGATAGATCATCCCTAACCTTGAATGGGATTTTTTCATTCTCTTCTCTCCTCGGTACCACCCTGAGTTCTTCTCTTTTTTTTTTCTCTCTCCCTTTTTTTTTTTTTAATTGGCTATGCCACACTGCACACAGGATCTTTAGCTCCAGGGGACAAACCCGTGCCCCCTGCAGTGGAAGTGAGGAGTCTTAACCAGTGGACCACCAGAAAAGTGCCCATCCTGACTCCTTTTTACCCCATATTTTTCTCCAGGACAATTAATTTGTTTTTACTCCAAAGGAAACATTGTATCACTTTCATACATGGAAAGCCAACATCATTGCCATAAATAGATGAAAACTATTTTAAAAAGTCAAAGCTGAACAATATTGACTTTGAGTTGGATTCTGCTGCCACAGCTCTGAGCCTTAGGCCCCCCTTTGTGAAAAGGGAAAGAGCCATACAACAGCCAATGGCACCAAACAGGAAATTCTCCTTCCCTCATCACCTGCAGGACTGCATGACAAGAGAATTCTTTAAGAATTGAATTATCTAGGTGTCCATCAGTGGATGAATGGATAAAGATGTTTAAAACACACACACACACACACACACACACACACAGAGGAATACTATTCAGCCATAAAAAGAATTAAATCCTGCTGTTTGCAACAACATGATGGAGCCTGAAGTGAAGTGAAAGTGGCTCAGTTGTGTCCGACTCTTTAGAGACCCCATGGACTATACAGTCCATGGAATTCTCCAAGCCAGAACAGTGGAGTGGGTAGCCTTTCCCTTCTCCAGGGGATCCTCCCAATCCAGGTCTCCCGCATTGCAGGCGGATTCTTTACCAGCTGAGCCACAAGGGAAGCCCCAAAGCCTGAAGGTATTATATTAAATAAGTCAGATGGAGAAAGACTTTCCTGGTGGTCCATATGATTTCAAAATAAAACAAACTCATAGATACAGAAGCAGATTGGTGGTTACTAGAGAGTCTGGCATACAGTAGGTGCTTAACAAGTGCCATGCTACCTGACCTCAGGTACTTGCAGCCTGTGTAATCTACAGGCTTTCACTCTCAGGAGCCGGCCTCAGCCTGGACAGACGGCACAGCCCGGCTCACTGGTAGCTCAGTCCTCGCCTCCTCCCACATTGTGCCCTGAAACATGTTTCTTTCCAAGAACAGCACTCAGCCTCCCCTACCCACCCACCAAGCCAGGACCCTGTTAATTCCAGCACTTTGCCAAGACTTATTGCTAATTAAGTGAACTAGATAAGCATTAAATTAAACTAGCAGTGTTCCTGTTTTCCATCCAGACTGAATAATTACTCATAATGAACTTGGACAATAAGTCTCTAAATAACAGAGAGTTAAATACAACTAGGTGGAAAGCTAAGAGAGAGAGAAGGGATGAGAGAAAGAGTAGAAAAGAAAGTAAGAGCTGCGAGGAGAGAGAGTGTTTTTGCTTTAGTAACCGACTCAAGAACAAATTCAAACACTGCAGCCAGTGTTAGAGTCACACACTCAGAGAACAGAACCTCAGAGCCCAACTAGTTTAAATTCTGTACTTCAGATATGGAAACCAAGGCTCAGAGAGGTGACGAGATTTATCTAAGGTCACATAGCTGAGCAAGTCTCTTGAGAGAAATGTGGGGCTGGGTATCACTGGCTGATGGAGGCTTCAGTTTCTCATTCCAGTTTATGGGAGTAAGTGGAGGAAGGTGAGATGCGGTGAGGTGTCCATTTTACCGGCATCTTGGAAAAGAAGTTTCCTCAACCAGAAGAATGGACAGAGGTTAAGAGCTCTGACTCTGGAGTCACATTGCCAGGGTTCAAATCTCTCTTCTGCCTCCTAGAAGCTGTGTCACCTTGGGGTAAGTTCATCCATTTCTCTGAGCCTCAGATTTCTCACCTATCAGTGGGGATAAAAACAGCACTTGCCTAATACGAGTTGTCATGCTACAAATTAACTAGCCACTGTGACCATGACCACCATCACCTCCACCATCAGCACCATCATTCTCAAGCCAACGTGATGAAAGTGTTAGGAGTGCCTCCTCCACTCACATGTTAAGACATGTGGGCATGCTGCAGTGTTTCTCAGTGTCTTGTCCATGTGTAAAACAGGCTAATAAGGCCTTCCCTTCTTGAGTTGTAGAGGCGTTTCAAGGGTTAAAATCCATGCCAGTGGCCTCTGGAAAGTTAGATGTGCATCACCATTCTGCTGCATGGTCCAAGATGCCCCTTTACCCTGACCCTTGGGAATCATCGCTATCCCATTTCCCTCCCACCAAGCTCACTTGGTGTTAACAGGAGCTTCTCAAAGTGCCCTTAAAGACCACCACTAGGTGGCGCTCCACCATGCACCCGTGGTCCCAGGGACCCCTGGGTGTGCATGTATGCTGGGGGCGGGACAGGTGGTGGACCAGTGAAATCCTGAGTAATTGGGCCTTGGGGTGGGTGTGCATGTGTCCTCTGGGGGGTTGGCAGGCAATTCAGAGGCCACGTGGCTCCTCAGTCCTGCATATCTAAGTGCGAAACAGTTCACCATTGCCCGTGGTGAGAACTTGGGCCTCTCTGAACCTCAGTATCATCTGGAAAATTGTGATAGTAAATAATGCTAGGTCATGGATGTTGAGAGGACAAAAGAGGAGCGGGGGGTAAGAGAGCATGAGGAAAGTGTCATGTACAGGGCCTGGAACACAGTAAATGCTCACTGAACAGGATCCTTATGGGTGGTTTGACTGGTGGAATGGGCATACAGTGGGTCAGAGATTCTAGAGCAAGAAGACCAAACCCAGATAAGCATACACATTTCCTGGGGGCATATTAAAAGGGCAGCCCAGGCCCAAACGCAGACCTACAGAATGGGACACTTCAGGTATGAAGACCAGGGAGCTGTAATTCTTCCAAAGTGCTGTCCAGCTAGGTGTGACCTTGCAGACCATCCCAGTCCCAATCCTCCCATTTTGCAAATGAAAAAACTGAGATCCAGAAAAGGGGACTGACCTGCCTATGTCTTCACAGCCAGGGGGGAGCAGAAGGTCTGACTTCTAGTATATGGTGTCTGCTGTGGCTCTGGCAAGGGCAGAACCTGAAACACTTATTGGAGATGGGCCAGCAGAAGGCTGACTACTTAAGTACCTCTCCCTTAAAAATTAGAGCTGGGCTAGAGGGAGATGAAGCTCTGGGGCTCATCTGAGCACTACCCCCTAAAAAGGAGTGGTCCACTTTTGAGTCCTCAAAGGATGCACTGTTGGATAATGATTCCATATATTCCATGCTTTCTTATCATAAATCTAAAATGCAGCCCAACCTGACAACCTTCCCACCTTTATAGATGAGACAGAAGTTCAGAGGGGAGAGGAAGCTCTTCTCAAGATCACCTAGCTAAAGGCAGGCAAACTCAGATCTTCCACCTCTTAGGTCAATGCTCTTGTCTACACACCAGAAGCTGCAAGTTTCTAGGCTAAGAATCTCCCTAACCTACAATATGTTTCATTGGTCTTCTATTGCATTACAATTTTTCAGGTAGTTTTAAAAATTACAAATAATTAGATTTCCTAGAAAGTGTAGACTTCCAGATTCGCTGAAAATCTAAAGTTGTGGCAACATACAGCTTATATCCCTGAAAGGCTGTAGTTAGCCAGTGCTGAACAGAAGCCAACCATATCCCTTACAGGGGAACACAGGCTTCATTAGTCTCCACCATCTCATACTGTCTCAGTCATCCAGCTGATCCACTCACTATGTTACCTGTCTGGTCCTGATGGGCCGTTGGATTTGGCACTCCTGCTAAAGGCTGCGGCCTTTCTACTGAAATTTGTCCCAAGGGGCTTCCCTGAGGAACAGAGAATGAGATTAATGAGGTTGCTAAGATTCTTTCACTGGAACTCAAAAAGAGCCAGGTATTGCCAGAGCCAGCCCAGAGGCAGGGTCCCTCCCAGGGGATGCCCCAAGCAGGGTCTCAGATCTTAACCTTCACAGACGAGGCTGGGGGATCCCCTTCCAGGTCAGAGCCTGTTGGAGGCAGGCAGATGGAGCTGTAAATTGTATTAGCCTGCGGCAGTTGTGCAAAACCATTTCTGTCTGCTACTGAGCATGCTCCAAGAACCCCCTGGGACCCTGTTAATCAGGAGCACAAATGCCTGGCAACCCTGTTACAAACCCATATCCATTACTCTGCCGTGACTTCTCCAGCAGGTGAGCGGGATGGCCAGCGGGAGCCCTGCACTCACCCAAAACCCCTGAGACACCTCAGGGTGGCAGGGCAGCTCCGGGCTGCCTGAGTTTGAATTATGGCTCCTTCCTTCACCTGACCTTAGGCGAAGAACCACTCTGTGCCTGTTTTCTGGTCTGTAAGATAACAGCTGATAACAGTTCCTACTTTGGAGGCTTATTAGGATGATTATAGGAAATAATATGAACGAATTCCTTAGCATAGTGTTTTACACAGCAAATAATAAACACCAGTTGGGTGATGAGCACTACCATCTACAAGTATCTATATATTCTATTGGCTGGAGGTGGTTTAGGGCACAGCCATCAAACTCAGTAAGCGAATAAGATGATTCCAGATGATTTAACAGCTATGATGAAAATGAAAGGGGTAATGAAAGGGACCTGGGGGATGATGGAGACCTCATCGGAAGGTGTTCTGTGGGCTGAGGTTTTTCAACCATGGCACTGTTGTCATTTTGGGCCAGTCCGTTTTTCACTGTGGGGACTGTCCTGTGCATTGCAGGATGTTTAGCAGCATCCTGGATTCTACCTGCTAAATGCCAACCATGCCCCTCTCCCAATTGTGACCACCAAAAATATCTCCAGACGTTGCCAAAGTCCCCTGGAGGGCAAAAATGAGCCCTGCTGAGAATCACTGTTTAAGGGGTTAATAGAGAGGAGTGTTCAGATGACAGAACAGATGGCTTTGGAGAGATGGATTTTGAACCTAGAGGGCATGAGGAAGTGGAACCTTAGCTCTGATCCTAATGCAGGCATTCGCAATGTTTGGCCAATTCCCTTAGAATAAATCACTCTCACTACATATATAATGGGCTCTGTTTTCCTGAGCACCCTACCTGATTCGGTGGTGGTGCTGGGCTGACTCTTGCAGCCCAGCCCAGGTCCCAGGGAGGCATCGCTCCAGCTCAGAGGGCAGGAGCTCATCTTGCTGTCACCCACTCCTCCCCGACAACCTTGGGGTACCAGTGTGGATCCCTGGGGCTGACAAGGAAGAGAAAGGGAGGAGTGGCTGAGAGAAGGCCAGGAAGAGAACGCAAAGAGGCCACAGCAGGTGATGTATTTATTGCAGGTCCACTTTTTCTCAGGGATGGGTTGGTTGTGAGGCTCTATTTGGGGGGAGACCCTCACAAATGCCCAGACTCAGAAAAGACAGACACAGTAACTCGGAATCTAAACCAGTTGCACATAAATAGAAGGAGGCTGGCAAGGAAAAAGAGAAAACAAACGAACGTGCACTTTCCTATGCTAGTGTGACAACGTGACCCCTCCGGCTCTTCTTTCACTCAGCTTCCATGCTGAGGCTCCCATCAGCTCTGAAAACCACCTTCGGATCTGACTTCTGGCAGTCCCTTTGCCAGTCTCCTGGACTGGCAACCAAGTCAAGAAAACCAAAATGGGTTCTTCTTTAAGAAACAAACCAAAATACGCTTCCATGGTTCTTTGCACCTCCCAGTCCCAGGGGAGGAACAATTTGACCACTGACCCCAAACCAACCAAGGAATAAAATATGCGAGCACAAGCCGTGAGTCAGAATAAAAACATATTGCACATGGTTCCAAGAGTCTTCCTGAGAGCCCTTTCACTGTAAAGACCCAAATACTGGCTTTTGATCCAAGCCATTGCTGGCTGTCAGTGGTGTCACAGACCCCACACGCCCCCAAATCCAGCTGGCGTCAGGCATACATTCCACATTATGATCCTTTGCTCTGAGCCAAATGCAAGGCCGAGGCTGGATTTAACCTCATACACTAGAAGCATGCGGTGGAGGGAGGGAGGTGGGGGTTGCTGGTGTTAAATTTTTGTCTACTTTTCAACAGTCCTTTTTCTCTGGGTGGTTATCAAAGTTCTACATATGAACAGAGCATCCAAGATGTGGAATCTTCTGGAACCGAGAGCCTGGAAAGTGGTTCTCCCCAACCACACACTTTTGCAAAAGGGAGCTCTGTGGTTAACCAGGGGTCCATCCCAAGCTGGGTTAAAACCTACAGCCCACTCATGGGACAGGCAGTGTAGCAATCACCAACGTTTTTCTCCTAAGGAATTTTCAAGTATCACAAAATCCCTGATATAGCATGTAAACAAGACATCTTACTGAACAGAAAGCTAGGTCACTTCGGGAAGCAGCAACACGTGAAACATGTAAAAGGCTGAAGGTTTTAGGTTCCACAACAAATCAAGACAGCTGTCACTGTGTCTCGGGAGGCAGACGCACAACCAGGCCCCTGTGGATGGAGCCAGACGGCACCTACTGGGGTTCCTGAGAGCACGTCAGGCCACCCCCTTTTCAATTGTGTAGCTGCCATCAGCAAAGAATAAAGGCGTCTCCGATGCTAAAACCTGGAGCTGCTCGTGGACTGCAGGCCTGCATCCAGTCTCCGGCCTCCTGGCCTCTTCCCAAGTCTTCCTGGACCCACTGGGCCCCTCTCCAGAAGGTGGCCACCGAGCCACCCCCTGGACCCTAGCCACAAGTGGAAGACATTTTTCCAGAGGAATGCTCTCGGGTGAGGTATGTCATTGCCTGTTTTGCTCCGGGTCAGTTTTATTTAAAAAGACCACAGACCCGCTCTGTTCACGGGCCCTGAGGCTCTCTGTGGGGGTGGCCTCTCCCAGGTGCCTCCCTGGGCTGGGCTCCCCTGGTCTGCATCCTCTTCCTCTGCCCGGGTCTCCAAGGCCTCCCTGTGTGGCTAAAGGTGTCCTATCTATCAAAACAGCCTGTGGGGAACGCATGAGCCCCACTGAAGTAGCTGCTCCCATAGGTGGTGGCGAGGCAGTGCCGGGGCTCGGCTGCGATGGCCATCTGCATGCTGAAGGACGCGGGCAGCGGCACAGAACACACGTCCAGGGGCTGGAGGGTGGGGTACAGGGCGTGGAGGGACGGGCTGGTGCCCCCTGAGAGCAAGGTCCCCGAGCGGTGGGCTTGCAGCGAGTCCCGATAGGCCAAGCACAGGTCCTGCACGGGGGTCTGGAATTGGGCCAGCGCCGTCGCTGTCGGCTGGCTGAGGCCCGGGTAGGCAGGTGGCTGGAACAGCACCTGGGTGGGTGAGCCGGGCACCATTGCCAAGGCCTGGCTCTTGACAGCAACGGCATCCTTGAGGACGTTGTCGTAAGCTCTGAAAGGAAAGGACTGGGTGAGATTTGGGAGGCCAGAGGCTGCAGCACCAGTCACCTGCCTTGCTGACTGGGACGCGAGGAGACCCGTGTCCTGCAGGCCTCTCCTGGTCTGTGCTCACTGCCTCAGCTGATCTCTGACTAAAGCCAGGCTCCAGATCTTAGCTTGGATCTGCTTCCCACAAAAGCCCGGCAACCCTCAAGACTAACCTAGCTGTTCATGTAGACCCTCTGCACTGCCCCCACTTGGCGGTCAACACTGCAGACGATAACTTGCGGGTCAGAGCATGGCCCCATGTGTGGAGCTTCGAGAGGGAGGGCCTGTCTGCTTTTGCTCATCATCGCATCCCCACACAGGGCACAGGAACTGCCCCCTGGTGCTTAGGTGAGCAGCCCTTCTACCGTCGAGACACTTTTGGTCAGCTTCATCCCTAGCTGGGATGGAGTTATGAGACTTAGCAGATTTCAAACAGGTTGCCCCCAGGGGCCTGTCTCCATCTGAAAAGCAGGATAGAACAGGTTTTTTTCCATCTCAAAAAAAAAAAAAAGCTTCCCATAATAAATTTGTTTTGAGGAAACAATTAGAGGCTTTGGTAAGAAAGAGGCAAGTGAAGCTGTAGCAGGTCTGAGCAGAGGGCTACCCCAGAGCCTTGGGGAAGAGGCAGAGCTCGTGGCTTAGTATCTGGGGCACTTGTCCTCATTCAGGCCAGACCACATTCTCCAGCTTTCAAAAGGGAGAGATTTTAAAATCAGGGCTAGGGAGCATGACTGATTTCAGAGGATTGAGACTAAGGCAGCTGTACCAGGAGGGGGAGAGATGGCTCTTCAGAGGTGTGGCCCCGAAGTGAGTGGGACCAGCACGCAGGAGATGCTGCCAGTTGTTGGATGCAAGAGAGACCAAGTGCAGCCAGGTGAGAGCTTTCTGTCCTCTCTGTCCTCCTCCCTGTAGTCACTACTCTTTGGCCACCAATATCAGTTTTAGGGTGCTGCGTCTTTAAGCATCCTCTCTGAAACCCTGAACATTTCCTCCCCAAGATTCCTAGGTTATGGTCTTTTCAGCAAAGTCACTCTGGGCTGAGCAGGCTAAGAGGTGACTTTGTGACCACGTCTGAGTAGAGCAGCTCATAATGAGGGTCTCTCCATGTGATCACCCAGAAGACTGACTGATACACTGGGTCAAAGAGCCCAGACACTCAGAAAAATGTGCAGTGAGACCCTCTTCTCCAGGACTCTTGACCTGACAATTGCAAACCCAAAGACACCTAAAATAGGAAGGACTAAATCCCCAAATCTCCCCAAATCTACCATAAGCTTCAAACTGCAGGAAATCACCTGAGGTGGGCCTTACAAGCAAGTGGAACTTGGCTATTTCAGAAACACGAAAGGATCAGGAGAGGAACTTACACCAGCAGGATTTCGATGCACGTGCTGAGATGTTCCAGGGAGTAGTTTGAGATCCTCTGCAGGTCTCTGGTCCAATAGGGAGAAAGCTGAAGGCAAATCCTAGAGGCCCCAACGCAGGCTGCAGCCACCACGGAAGGCTGGAATTTGTAGAAAATATGATCTGAAAGAGAATCACAGAGAGAGAGTCACCATCAGAAGCCTGGCCTTGAAGCTCTGCCTTGTGCTCCCTGGGAACTGGGAGACAAATGATTAGGTCCAAGGTTGTTCACCATACATGCAGTGCAGAGGGTCTACATGAAAAATTAAAATAGCATGAATTTTCATTCTTAAAACACCTCAGCTCTTGGGCTGGGATTTCTGATGTCAGCCTAGAGCAGCGATTGTCAAAATACATCCCTGGCTTTCAGGGGCTGCAATGGACTTGCTGATGCTACAAGGAGAAACACTAAACATCTGTCCTCCCTTTGAAAGACAGTGGTAAACACACACCATCTCAAAGACTTCTGTTTGGGGTGCTGACTGAAGGCTATTTAGTAATGAAGCCTGGCCCAAAGCAGGAACTCACTAAAAATCTGAAGAATGAACAAATAAATGAATGTCTGTAAGTATTTCATATTCAAAAATTTGCTGGGTAATCTTCCCCTCACCCCACCCCAGATTTATTGACAAACAACTGAAAAATACTATATATTTATGATGTACAGTGTGATGTTTTGGTACAAGTAAACACTGTGAAATAATATAAGAAATCTTCATGTCCTACTAAGATATCTGGCAACCTGGCAAAGCTGGTACTAATATGTGCAAAGGCAAACTGCTCAAATTCCCACAATTCTCATGAAGAATAGCTGGTTATCCACACATTACTTTGCTGTGTTAAACTGTTCATGACTTTCAACGATTTCAACATTTGCCCCTTAAAGTATGAATTAGGCAGGGTGGTATGGTTATAAGCACAGTCAGAGTCAGACTCCCCAGGTTCAAATCCTAGCAATGACCTTAGGATAAGTTACTTCACAACTTGAGTATCAATTAAGGAAACTGATTTGTAAAATGAGAATAGCAGAAATGATCTTCACGTGAAGTTGCTGTGAGGTTCAGATGAAACAATACATGCAGAGCACTAGAATAAGATGTCTCGTGTACAGTAAGTGCTCACTTACTGCTGAATATCACAACTGTTGATATTGTTACTCATAACCATTTTGGCTTGGAGTGGGTTATCAGATGGTTAAATCAACAGTATTTCTGACCTAGTGTTGTACCGAATACCTAGATCTTAATACCCAGATCTTAAGACACTTTAAGTAAAAGTCTCCAAATGGTAAAAGTGTATTGCTAAAGCAGATAGAAACAGAATCCTCTCTCCCATCCTACCTGTACGATACTCTTCCAGAATGACCTACCTTGACTCTGTGCTATTTAGATCATTTGCAGTGTTCCAAGTGAGTTAAAAACTACCAGGTAGGTGATCAGTAAATCGACTACAGGTTGCCTGCATACAAGCTACTCCTCCATTACACATTATTGCTAACTCATTCCATCTCTGCTTACCCCTGCAAATTTGTCTCTGCCTATCCCTGCGAAGTGGGGTGATCTGGTGATGTGGGTGCATTGGCCCCCAACCCTGGCCCCCATGTGGGTGGGGAAGGGTAGACAGGCCTTGACATTGGCCCCACCTTGCAGGGTGACCTCCAGGAAGTAGTGGGCGTACTCCTTGAGGCACTCTTTGGTCTTTCGGGGGCAGGTGGTGGGCCAGCTGTGGCAGTGGTGGTCCTTCTGGCTGACGGAGGCTAAGAGGTAGTAGTCGAGGAAGTGGGCAGGCGTAGGCAGGCAGAGGTTCCAGCCAAAGGCCTCCAGCAGCAGCAGCTCTGTACTCAGCAGCTCCTTCCTGGTGAGGGAGAAGTTTTGGCTGCTCAGGATCCTGGTGCTGTTTATCTGCTCCAGCTTGGGGACGTGGTCTTCCCGATCCTCGAATTTACCTAAGGGAGAAGCAGAGATTACGTGAGACTGCCAGCACTTGCTGTAAAGGCCCTCTTTATGGTACTCAGATGGTGCTGGCAAGGAGAAGAGCAAGCCCAAAGGCACATATTACAGATCTATCACATTTGAGCTCGAATCCCCACACCATCACTTCCAGTTGTGTGATCATGGAAACATATCTCACCCTCTCTGTGCCTCAGTTCTCTCCTATGTACAATGGAACTTATACCTCTTAAAGCTTTTGTTAGATTCAATGAGATAACACACACCAAATGTACAGACCAGTGTGTGGATCACAGAAGATGCTCAACAGCAGTTAGCAAAAGCAGCAAGGGCCTGGGCCCTCCTGTCTGGTCTATACTAATTCAACATCAGGACTGGTCAGGGGGCCCTAGTCACGGTAACCTTGTAAATCTGGCCTGTCCTTGCAGATGTGGAAGAGCCCTTCAGTGGCTCCCTAGTACCCTTCAATACTGAGCTTAAACTCTGTCAAAAGTTTCTGAGTTTGGATTCCCTTAGAAACAGTTTTCTTGGGAGGTGACCCTAGGGAAGATCTATTAGTAGTAGAGAGGGACGAAATCCAAAGGGGCATTTTATCTTGAAGAGGTATCTGCACCCCATGTTCACTGCAGCATTATTCACAAGAGCCAAGAAAGCCTAAGTGTCCAACTGATAGATGAATGAATAAAGAAGCTAGTTATTTATATACAATGGGTCCCATCATTTCATGGCAAATAGAAAGGAGAAAAGTGAAAACAATGACAGACTTTATTTTCTTGGGCTCCAAAATTACTATGGATGGTGATTGCAGCCATGAATTTAAAAGACACCTGCTCCCTGGAAGGAAAGCTATGAAAAACCTAGACAGCATATTGAAAAGGAGAGACATTACTTTGCCCACAAAGTCTGTATAGTCAAAGCTATGGTTTTTCCAGCAGTCATGTATGGATGTGAGAGTTGGATCATAAAGAAGGCTGAGCGCCAAAGAATTGATGCTTTCAAACTATTGTGCTGGAGAAGACACTTGAGAGTCCCTTGGACTGCAAGGAGATCAAACCAGTCAACCCTAAGAGAAATCAACCCTGAGTACTCACTGGAAGGACTGATGTTGAAGATCAAACTCCAATATTCGGCTGCTTGATGCAAAGAGCCAACTCACTGGAAAAGACCCTGATGCTGAGAAAGACTGAAGGCAGGAGGAGAAGAGAGGGGAACAGAGGATGGTTGGATGGCATCATCGACTCAATGGACATGAATTTGAGCAAGCTCTGGGAGATGGTGAAGGACAGGGAAGCCTGGCGTGCTGCAGTCTGCGGGGTCACAAAGAGTTGGATACGACTGAGCAACTGAACAACATATTTGTTGTTGCCATGTCTGACTCTTTGCAACCCCATGGACTGCAGCATGCCAGGTTTCCCTGTCCTTCACTATCTCCTGGAGCTTAATGGGATATTATTCAGCCATAAAAAGAAGAAAATCCTGCCATTTGGGACAACATGGACCTTGAGGACATTATATTAAGTGAATAATGAGAGAGACAGACAACTACTATATGATATTGTTACCGAAGATCACCAAGTCTGTGTGCCCGATACATAGTAAGGCCAAACAATACTAAAACACTGGAATTTGGAACAGAGAAAGTTTTATTACAGGGACATGAAAGGAGATGAGTGACTCATACCTTAAGAACCCCGAAGTTACTGAAAGCTTTCAGCAAAGCCATTTTAAAAGTAAAAAGATGAAGGAGGGGCATGGTTACTTGTGTCAGATCCTTTGTTCTTGAGGTCAGGTAACGATGTTCCTATAAAGCTCCACCAAGTGAATGTTATTCCCTGTTCTGACAAGAAAGGGCCAGGTCCCAGGTACAACCTTCACCCTCCGAGGTCCAGGTTCTGGCTGAGAGGAGGCAGAGCTCAGCTGGCAGCTCCCTCAGGGCCACGTCCCAATATCCTGTCCAGCTCATCACTGAGGGAGCCAGGCACCCAGGACCCAACTGGCCCTCACGCTCCTCAAGCCACCGGTCCGGCAGGGGCAGGTCCTGAAAAGTGTGAGCCAGGCAGACAGCCACTGCTGTTAGGTCGCAGACAGGGACTGAGGAGAGGCTCACAGCTGCCTTAGTGCCTGGGCCAAGGCGAGTGAGTGGCCTTGGCAAGGGCTCTGGTGCCCTGCAGGACACAGCCCCAGTCTGTTCTCTGGGCCCCCAGTTCACCCGCTGGCCCAGGGCTAGGTGATTTGGGGGGCCTCGGGGAGAAGGCCGCAATCTGCCTCTTAGCTCACTCTGCACCTCATGACCACCACTTTACAGTTGTCTGAATCCCCTCACTAACTGTCGTTGCTTGTGGGCAGGGCCCACTGCCGTGCTGTCCAATGGCTGAGAAGGGCCACTGGCGGTTCCTCTTTGACAGTTGGTTGCCAGTGGGCGGGGCCTGCTGAAGCACCGACCAATGACTGAGCAGGACCCACTGCCTGGTAACAGTGTGCAGAGTAATGATGCACAGCAAAGGCAGTTTACTATGCTAAGGGCTGAGCTCCAGGCACTGTGTTACAGTATTTTTTACATGTAGAATCTTAAAAAAATTGAACCCAGATACAGATAACAGATTGGTGGTTGCCAGAGGTGGGGTGGGGGATGGGATCAGAAGGTACAAACTTCTAATTATAAGATAAATAGTCCTGGGGATGTAACATAGGGTATAGTGACTAGTTAGTTAATCATATTGTATATTTGAAAGTTGCTAAGAGAGTAGATCTTAAAAGTTCTCATCTTAAAAGAAAAAAATTCTATGTGAGATTATGGATGTTAACTAATTGTAATTTCACAATATATGCATACATCAAACCATTATGTTGTACACCTTAAATCAATACATTATGCCAAATGCATCTCAATGAAACTGGAAAAGATGGTGTCATGTAACTTCCAAGACAATGCTTTAAGAGGCCTTACAACTTAAAAAAAAATTATTATTTTATTTTGGCTGCGTTGAGTCTTAGTTGTGGCACACGGGATCTTCACTGTACCATGGCAGACCTTTCATTGCAACACATGGACTCTCTAGTTGTGGCTTGCAGTCTTTGTTGCTCCAAAGTATGTGGGATCTTAGTTCCCCAACCAGGGATTGAACCGGTGTACCCTGCCTTGCAAGGCGGATTCTTAACTACTTGACTATCAGGAATGTCGAGAGAGGCCTTACAGATCCAAACTTGGCCCTACCTGGAGTGTCATTCCCAGACCTCCATGTAAGGAAGCACATTTAGCCTCCCAGAGTCAAAGAAGCCACAAGGATGGGAGCAGACATGCCCAGGCAACATCCAGCACTGATTCTCACACATGTGAATGAGGCCACTCTGGACCTTCCAGGCCAGTGGATCCTCCAGCAACTGTATGAATGAGCTCAAGTGAAACCAGCACAGAGCCACCATGCAGTGCACACTGCTGTTGTTTTAAATCACTAAGTGTTGGGGTGATTTGTTTTGCAGGAACAGATAACTGGAATATACTCACATCATTACACAGTGACAAAAAGATGTGAAATCCCACAGACAGACCTGTCACATAGCCTGGAAAGTACTCAAGAATCAATGACTACACAGACTTCCCCGGTGGTTCAGTGGTTAAGAATCTGCCTGCCAGTACAGAGGACACGGGTTTGATCCCTGGTCCAGGAACTAAGATGCTCAGAGGCAACTAAGCCCATACACCACAATACTGAAGCCTAACCATCCTAGAGCCCAGGCTTTGCAACAAGAGAAGCCACCAGAGTGAGAAGCCCTTGCATCACAACTAGAGAAAGCTCTCATGCAGCAATGAAGATGCAGCATAGTCATAAATAAAGCTAAATAATTAAAAAATTTTTTAAAAAAGAAGTAATAACTGAGTCCAGAGATGAACAGGCTCCAGGTTAGACACTGACAACTGGCTTGCTATTTGCATTTCTTGGGGCAGGAAGAAGTAGGCTTCAGATTGGACACTTCTAACCAGTCTACTGCTTGCATTTCCTGAGGTAAGAGATAGGTGGGCTCCAGTTAAGGCATTTACAATCAGCCTCCTATTTGCCCTCCAATATGGAAGTAACAACAGAAACAGGGTAAACAGCCAGTCTCTGCCTCTCGTAAACACCTTAAGGTAATAGTCATGGCAAGGACAATGAGGGGCAAAACCCTGCTTGAGGATAAAGGATAAAGGAATTTCGGCTCCCCACTTTTTGGGTAAAGAGACACTACACATGTGCAGAAGGGCTCCTTGGGGGCCAAAAGTCAGGGAATAATGCCAGACCATAATGAGTCTTGATCCTCCCAGAAGACTTCACTTGAAATCTATCTTGGTTGAGGGGTGTGCGCACATCCAAGGGAGGGTCCTAGGGTAGGTCAGGTGTGGAAAAATAAACCAGATAATTGGCTAAAGGTGAACAAAGACCTGTAAGAACTGACCTATCTAAATGACTTAACCACCTCTTTACTGCATCCCTCCTAAGAGGACACCCACAACCTTTCTCTCTGGGTGTGCATCTCTGCCTTGCTTCTGTCTTAACAAACTGCTTCTCTGGGTGCCTTCCCACTTGTTATGCGGTCTCCAATGATAAACTCTGTACCTGCATTTACAGTTCTAGTCTCCATGATAAATGCATTTTTCACTGGGGGCAAAGGTCCCCCCAGGGAAAAATAGCTTCTAGCCTGTAACCCTGGTTGATCTGGTGGCTGGGATTCCTGATTTTCATCCAGGCTACCCAGGTTCAATTCCTGATCTCACCTCATGCCACTGCTCACTGCTGCCTCACTGAGATCATAATTACATACTGGAAGATCCTGGAAATAAACTGCGTGAAATACATCCAAATGGAGGTAGATACAAACAAAAATAAAACACAAACCTTGGGTTATTCTGCTCAGGATCAAGGGAATGGAGGATTTCCCTGGGCAGTCATCCATGGTGGGAGCCCCACAGGCAGCCCGCGCTGGAGGCCGCTCTACAGGAGAAGCTTCTGGGGACTCCGAG